TTTGTTTTGTTTAGCGAGGCTCATCTCGTTTTATTATTAAAAGGCAAACCGGGAGCAATTTATAATTTTCTATTTCTATTTATCCCTAAAACAAAAGGAAAAGTCCTAATTAATCATTGTTTTAAAAGAATTTCGACCCTTAGCTTGATCAGGCCTTGAACGTAATCCACATAAGGAAATCATTACTCAGGGGAGTATAAAGAATAAGCCATGTCAAATGTGGCCCAGGTCCAATTGAATAGGCCATTATATCAAGACCTGGGCCGTCTGTTCGAATGTCAAGGCCCGATCTATGTGTCCTTTAAACAAAACTCAACTACTCGAATTAACAAGATGCTGACCCTTCGAATTTCAATTTCAAGCTCCAACTATTTTCTTACTGGCCTACTGTCGAATTCTCAGATGCTAACAAGGTGAAAGAAAACAGGTTTGAAAGGTGATTGTATTAACACTAACTATTTTGAATTAGTTATAGCTAACATTACTGAGTCAGCACTCAAGTGACTTGTGAATTTGAAATTAATTCCTGCTTCAATCAATCTACCGATTTCAATAATCAAACTACACAGGAACAAATTTAAACGAGCTAAAACCAGTAAAATAATTCACAGCTCGAGTTGTCATTCAATTTAAAAAAAAGTTTATACGAACACGCAGGCCAGATTAACCACAGCTAATACTATTCTATATTTGACAGTCTAACTAATTACCAAACATAAGATCCTTGGGCTAATTAACAAACTGTAGTTATAGTGTAACAGTCCTTAGGCTAAAAGTCCAAAATTATTTGAAAACAGTCCAGGCATACAATCCACAGTTTGATTATATTGTAATTAACTGAATCACAGATGATTGCTTAAAACATAATGAAATTAACGGAATAATGGAGCTACAACAGAAACTTCAATTTCGTTTCATTTGTTGGACATAAGAATCTGCATTGTGACGGCCCAAATGTATACCTGGAAATATAACGAGTAGGAGAGGAAGTTAGCAACAGAAGAGCAGTCAGCAGCAGGAAACCGTAATAGACAGCCCAGAAATAATGTCAATTGAACCCAGTAAAAGCACGAACACCAAATCAAACAGGGCAATCAATCAAACTAGCTTGACTAACACCAAATCTACTTGAAAATGCACCAAATCACTTCAATAAACCCAGGAATACTTCACAGAAACACAACATCCAACTGGTGGCCCAAATTGACTCGATTAGACCCAAAATCCACCCATAGTGAAACTAGTGTATTGCAGAAAAGCCCCAGCAATTAGAATAGATGAAGATCAATGCCTAAAACTCACAATTACTCTATAAAATGCAATGTAATCGTACTTTTGGATTTTTCCCTTTTTCTGTTCGTTTTCTTTTTATTTTTGGAGATTTGGAGTTTGGATTTCAAATTTCAGATCTGTTGAGATTTTGCAGAGACTATTTTGGGGGGGGGGGGGGGAATTTTAGGCGTTTTCCAAACCTGTTGTACAAGGCAAATGAATGCCTATTTATAGGCAAACTTAGGGTCCAATTTCAGATTTTCACTTTACCCATTAGTCCCTATCTTAATTCTATTTTCTACCCCTTGTTTCTCGACTTGTTACACAAGTAACTACCCTAAGTTTACTGAAATCTGCACTATAGTCCATCCTAGAAGGTTCTATACCCATTACAATTCCTATTCTACCCTTACTTTACTTCAACAATTACCCAATCTGATTAAACTACCCTTTTCCCATGCCTAAACTACCCTTAGCATCCCCTGAAATTACTGACCAAAATCTACCAACTAAGAATCTGGGCCAAGTGACCTAATTCAAATGATTTATTGACTTCAAAAAGAGCCCAAATCCCTATTTACTAATCAGAGTTCCTAACAAAAGAACTGAACTCAAACTAAGAGAAATATCTGAACTAAACCAAATCTAATTAATGTAGGTCCTAAAACTAATTTTATTATTAACTAGTTGAAACAATAAACGAACAGTTAAAAACAAACAATTAAAATAATAAACGGGAACAACTAAATCATGTAAAACAATAAAATCACACAAACAAAAGCAAATGACAAACACAAAATTAAATCACGTGATTACAATCTAAAACAAAAATCAGAACCCTATATTTATTAATTCAAATCAGGCACAAAACCAAAATAAAAATAACAGAATAGAATACTGAATGAAAGTAACAAAACGAAACAAAAAATAAAATCACAAAAGAACTACCACAAAGATGTATGGGAGAAAAAAAAAATACCTAAAGAAAACTCGACTTGAACTCGAACTATAACCAGCTTCTGGGAAATATTTGGACTGCAACCATCCTTAATCATGTGTTTCCATGAGAAAACACATGATTAAGGGCTATTGTAGCCCATAAATCAGTAACCCCCAATCCTTGAGAAACTAGGGTTCTGGTCCGGTTTTGATCTAAAATCCGAGGGTTTTGGGTAAGATTTGAAGGTTATTGGTTGTAGATTTAGAAAGAGGAGGGTGGGGAGGCCATAGGGTGTGATTTTGGTTGGGTTTGGAGGCGGCGCCGCCGTGGGCGGCGGAGGCGGCGGCTAATGTTTTGAAGATTCGAGGAGCTTGGACGGGAATTGAAGGAAAACAATGGTGGATTCGGAGTGGGGAGACCGAGACGAGGCTATGGTGAAAATTTGGGGGTGATTGCAAGTTGGCCGCCGGCGGCGGTGATTTCCGGCCGGCGGCGATGGGGCGGGGGGCGGTGGTGACACGGAGGTTACCGGCATTACAGGGGAAACAGGTGGGATATGGCGGCTGTACGAGGATGATATCAAAATGTTTTTAGGGTTTGTGGAAATATTATTACACTTTTATGCAATATAATTGATCTCATCCGAGCCGTTGGATTAAATCAATAGACGGACAGGATTGAAAGGGGGGGACACGATGTCGTTTTGTTAATGCAGGGGCAGGCCGGGTTCTAGGAGATTTGGGCCAGGTTGGCTCTTTGGGCTGGGGAATTTTCTTTTGGGCCAGAATAATCAGCCCAATTCGGGCATAAGACCACCTTCTCTTTCTTCTTTTCTCTCTTTTTTTTTAATTTCCTCTTTATTCAATTTATTTTCATTTTGTATTTTCTTTTATTTATTTTTTCTGATTTTATTAAATGCTAACCATTATATTTCCTAATTTTCAGTTATAGTAATTCCTGATTTAAATGCAACCTAATACGAATTAAAACTAAAAAATGCCAAAAAAATGTTATTTTTGCTATTTTCCTCCTATTTTGTTCTAAAACAAATTAATACTAATTAATACTAAAAATGTAAAATTAAATCCCTAAATACAAATGCATATTTTTTGTATTTTCATATGAATTATCATGCAACCAATTAACACGGAATTTCAACAAAATTCACAAAAAATTGTAAAAATAAAAAAGAAATCATTTTATTTGAAACTTTTGGAATAATTTGCTTAGGGCAAAACTCACGTGCTCACAGCTGCCCCTCTTTTCCCAGAAACACGAAGAGTTTTCGTGCAAAGACAAGTGAGCAGAAACGAGCAATTTTTGCCTGTTCGCATATTCCGTGTGAAGCATTTTTTGAAAGAGCTGACCGCACCCTGCTTCAGAGATTGCCTACATATCCTGGGCTAAACAGGAATCAGGTCAGTGTAGTTCGGGAATGTCAGGTAGCTGGGACTACCAAGTGCTGTGATTTCACTGTTGCTGCTGCTGCTACTGTTTGCTGACCTCCTTATTACACCGTGTTAAAATGAAAAGAAGCTAGCCTAAGCTATGATCTACGAATTACAAGAGGGTCCTATCTATGTCTTCTAACTTGTACTTGTGTTGCCTTGAACTTGTATCTTGTAATCTTCCGATGGTATTCCTGTTGTTGTCTTGCATTGTGATTGGCGATATTGCTGCCATTCCTCCGAATGATGCTTGATTGTTACCATTTGAAACATGTGTCCGTTTTCCAGGTGGGCTCCTGACTGCTGACGCTTAAAAAGTATTCCCTTGTTCTCCAGGCGGGCTCCTGACTGCAAAGCTTGAAAAAGTATTCCCTTGTTCTCCAGGTGGGCTCCTGATTACTGAAGCTTGAAAAGTATTCCCTTGTTCTCCAGGTGGGCTCCTGACTGTAACAAAATAAACAACAAAGAAAATTTCTGCCCCAGTTTGGTAACTGGATACAGTATGTTATCAAATATTAAAAATTAAAAGCTAAAATTGAATTGCACTTCCCTTGTTCTCCAGGTGGGCGCCTGACTGCTGAAGCTTGAAAAGTATTCCCTTGTTCTCCAGGTGGGCTCCTGATTGCTGAACTTGAAAGTATTCCCTTGTTCTCCAGGTGGGCGCCTGATTGCTGAACTTGAAATGTATTCCCTTGTTCTTCAGGTGGGCGCCTGACTTCAACAAAATAAACAACGAAGAAAATTTCTGCCCCAGTTTGATAACTGGGTACAGCATATTATCAAATATTAAAAATTAAAAGCTGAAATTTTGATTGTACTTCCCTTGTTCTCCAGGTGGGCGCCTGATTGCTGAATTTGAAATGTATTCCCTTATTCTCCAGGTGGGCGCCTGACTACAACAAAACAAACAAACAAAGAAAATTTTCTGCCCCAGTTTGGTGACTGGGTACAACATGTTATCAAATATTAAAA